TCGGATAACAGCTGAAAATCCTTCCTGGGCCAGCTCACATGGTCAGGGGTGCTCAGGAGAGTCCCCAGGGCCAGAGGCATGGTGTGGGGTGGCCCTAACTCTGGGGTGTAACGGCCACATATAACATTTCATCACAGCCCTCACCATACACTGTTATACATGGACATTACATTCCAGAGCTGGGTGCACCTGGGTCAGTCCTGGGTCGACACAGTTGTGTTCAGAGAAATGAGGAGACAGTACCATGGTCTGCTACTGTGGTCAGTGTCAGGGGGAGCTGTCTAGCAATGAGGGAACTGCCTGGATGACCAGTGGGGTCACCCTAAAAGCAGCACCCCAGCAAAGCTGACAGACGAGGCATGAAGCCCCTGGTGCGTGCCCCCATTGGAAAGCCTGATGGGCTGTGTGGTGCCAAAGGACGGCAAAGAGTGCAGGGGCAATGCTGGCATGGGCAGCTTCCCTGTCACCCAGCAATGTTGGCAACTCCATTAATCCCCAAAGTCTGTGAGGGAGCAAGAGTGCCTATAGCTCGGACAGAACTCCGTTTTGAGACGTTAAAATAGGCGCTGTCAAAAGGTGGGGGGAAAGGGGGGGGGAGAAAGACCAGAGAAAGACCAGGCTTGGCAATGGTTTGGTGGCCAGCCAGGGCAGGGTGAACCCTCAACTTCCTGTCCATGCCACTGCGGGAATGTCCCAAAGAACCCTGATTACATTCCTGCCCGGCCCAAAGTGCGATTTGTGCATGCCAGGCTGCCAACTGACAGTTCCACCATGCCCGCTGTACTAAGTATATGTCCTCGAATAAGGAACTGGCTTTTGGGCTGAGATTAGAAATTGAAATCCTTTCTGGACCATCTGACACCATGCCTGTGTGCCATCAGGGGACTCTCCTGGACATTCCTGACCAGAGTCTTGCCTGGCTCAAAACAAAGCTTGGCTATGCCAGGTTGCCAACTGACATCACCCCAGCCACAGTGCTAAGTATATGGACCCAAATAGTTTAATAGTTCCTAGGGTCGCAAGGGACCTGAGCAAATCTCCCTTGGGAGCCCATTCCAGAGCATGGCAACCCTAACCGTAAAGTAATGCCTCCTGATATCAAGCCTGAACCTGCTCTCAATCGATTTGTGGCCGTTATTCCTTGTTATGCCAGGTGGTGCCTGGGGGAACAGAGCCTCACTTATTTTCCGCTTGTCCCCACTGGTGAGTTTATAGACGGCCACCAGATCCCCTCTCAGTCTTCTCTGGTGGAGGCTGAATAGATTCAGATTCTTTAGTCTATCTTTGTAGGGCCTGGCCTGCTGCCCCCTGACCATGCAAGTGGCCCTCCTCTGAACCCTCTCAAATAAGGAACTGGATTTTGGGCTGGGAGTGTGGCTAAAAATCACACTTGGGCTACCCCAGGACATACCTCTGTGGCACCGCAGGACTCTCCTGGACATCTTTGGTCAGAGTCTTGCCCGGCCCAAAGCACAGTTTCTGCATGCCAGGCTGCCAACTGACAGTCCCCCCATGCCCACTGAACTAAGTATATGGGCTCAAATAAGGAATTTCTTTTGGGCTGGGATTAGAGATGGAAATCTTTCTGGAGCCATCTCACGCTATGCCTCTGTGGTTTTTTTAGTTTTCTGGCTTTCCTGGAACTGGGCTGGTTTCTGGGCTAGGATTACAGCTGGAAATTCTTCCTGGTCCAGCCCATGTGGTCACGGGTGTCCAAGAGAGTCCCCCAGTGCCACAGAGGCATGGCATGGGGTAGCCCTAGCTCCGGGGTGTAATAATCACATATAACAGTGCATGGGAATGGAAGATATGCGCTCAGTCCTGGGGTGTAACAGCTTAATATAACAGTGTATGGGGAGGCCTGAAATATACTCCAGAGTTGGGTGCAATGGCCACATTTAACAGTTTACCATAGCCCTCAACATACACTGCCAGGGCCCTTCACTCCTGACCCACAGTCCTCTACTCCCCCCAGCCCTGCTGGTTTGCCTCACTCCTGACCTGCTCCCCCAGCCCAGCTGATGTCTCTCGCTCCTGACCCATAGTCCCCCCACCCCCCACCCTGCTGGTTCACCTCACTCCTGACCTGCCTTCCTCCCCCAGCCCAGCTAGTGCCCCTTACTCCTGACCCACAGCTCCTGAACTGCAGGGAGACAAAAACCACACCAAGTTTAAAACCCCAGGGCCTGCCTATGTCCTTAGACCAATGCTGCTACAATCAAAAACCCAGTCCAACCAAAAGTAATTTTAATTAACCTGAGTCTTGAACCGCCTGACCCATAACAATCTGATCTTTGGTACAAAGTGCATGCAAACACATGGAACAATTTTTTTTGGAATCCAAAATGTTGTATTTTTCATTAATCTGAACCTTGAACTAAATCACCAGTAAAAACTTGCAAGATTAGCCCCTGGAGTCTTGTTGCAGCATTGCAATAAAATTCAATGCATTTCCATAGATTACTGAGTGAACCCAAGTGGTACCTGGTGGTGAACTTGTTGCAAAGCAGGGAAAATCCCGTTTTCGGGCGAGTCAGATCCACATTGAAAATTTAAAACCATAAAAAAATCCCTCGTGGAAAAAAATTCAGGAGCCAAAAGTAAAACATGTCAGAGGTGTTTTAAATTACCACTAAAGAAAAAAAACAACCCATAAAATCAGCTGATAATGTGGATTTGCAGATGCAATTTAGCTAGCTTAATGGCGTTTTTTGTCGTGTGTGTCACAGGGCACCTTGTGCCCTGCTCCTACAAGAGCAGGAACTGCCTGGGGAGAGCCCAAAGAGTCAAGCAGAAGCCCAGGTGCAGGTTGCTATGGCAACCAGCTAATGAGGAAATTAGTCTGCACCTGCACCTGGTCAGCTAGCCAGAAGGGGCAGGGCCCTGGGCCCATATAAATCCCAGGCTGGAGCTAAGGAGGGCAGTTTTCTGTTGGTGGCCAAAAGGGAAGGAGCCCTTGTAGAGTAAGTGAAGGGACGAGGCCTAACTAAGTTCTGCTCCTAGTATGTAAAGGGGCAGAGCATACCTTACGCAGTTTGTGTTATGTTATAGCCCAGGGGCTTATGTTTTGGTTGTAGTTTTATAAGACCAGTGGTTTGGGTGAGGCTATTTGGGGAAGGAGGAGGCCGCACTGGGGGCCCACTGCAGTGTGAGGACCCCAGTGCCAGTAAGGGCGTGGCATTTGGGGTGCACCAACCCTGGCGCCAGCAAGGGCATGGCATTTGGGGTGCACTGACTCTGGTGCCAGCGAGGCACACAGACAGGGCTGTGGAGAGCCCAGAGTGGACAAGGGGGCCAATTCATACCAAGGCCCAGACTGTACGTCAATGCCATCTGCGAGGCTTGGGGCGTGGTAAAGTGGCGGTTGGAGCCATGCATATAGCCCACAAGGCTAGAGTGCCCCCAAAACACCCATTGTGAAAACGGGACCCACACGGGGTCTGGGAACCTTGGGAACGGGGTCCAGAGAGGCCATCAAACTGTGACCAAGAGGACTTAAGGGCAGCCTCCGTATTTTTATATTTCCATCAAAGACATGGCGGGTGAGAACTGGGGGTGCCCATCGGGCCAAACAGTCGAGGGGCCTTAGGAGATCATGGCCATCCTTAGGGACACCATCCCATGTCAATGTGGACACAGGAAAAGTGTAACTTGGAAACAGGAGAGGTGTAATGTGGACAAGCACCCACATTAACCCAAAGAACCTTGTCTTCCTTAAATGCACCTGAACCTTTTGTGTACTGCCTGGAGGGGCCCAAAATTACCCCTTCCTAAGGCATATCTATTGAAGTTTTAAACAGACCCTGAGGTCTTCAAATATGGTGCAGTATCCAAAAGGGATGGCAGTGACAAGACTAGTCAACAGTCTTGATGCTGATGTTCTGGCTGCATGGGGACTGTGCTACAGTTGCATTGGGATAAAGAGCTATCTATGTCTCTCCACTTCCCTGACTGACTACTTAGGTTTTATGTTATTGAAGTGCATTTCACCCAATAATGAATAGAGCTTCACAAACACTATGTTGTAAGTAGACCTCATCTCTAATGTTCAACTGGGGAAACTGAAGCACATTGCCCAAGTCAATGCCACAGCCTTGAACTGAACTTAAGTCAACTTTGGCACAGTGCAGTGCTTTAACCTAGCCTTCAGTTATGAAAAAATGCAAGGACTTCCTTTTTTTTCCTTTCACTGGATGTGTTTACACATGCAATTAATGCACAGCAATAAACTCCAGTGCATATCTTGGTGGGGTTTATTGCTCCCAGGCACTGTGTTTAGACATGCGCCCAGGCCTGCAGCATATTAAGCTGGGTCGGAGCAGCCCTAGCTAGCAACTGACCCGGGGTGGGGGGGTCAGCTGCCAGCCCGGGGATGCTCCAACCCAGCTCAACATGCTGCCGAGGGGCTGGCTGGGGCAGGAGGGCTCCAGTGCGGGGCTAGCCAACTGGCAACCCCCGCACTGAAGCACCCTTGTGCCCCAGCCACCCGGGTCAATGTTTATATGCGTGTGGCTGTGCACTAAAGAACTCTGCCATAGGACTAAATACAAGTACTACCCTCGGATGGAGTTTATTTGTTTACTGCGGCCTCATAGGGCTGCACGTGTAGACACTGAGGCATTTATTGCAGGGCTAATTATTTAGCTCTATAGTAAGTGTCTCGTGTAGATGTGTCCACTATAGACATCATGTTTAAAAGCTCTTCTTGTCGTTTAAAGTACCTGAGCTAATTCTGCTAACAGCACTGAACCTACATACACCTGTCTGAGCACACACTGACCCATTATGTTAATGTCTCAAACAGGTGTGAAAGTTCTGCGGATGCAACTGAAGAAGCGCAGTTTGAAAACCTGGCCTGCAATCTCAGTGCACAGAAACTTAACATACATAACAGTTACTAGCATGTACCATACTGACAAATCTTAGGAACTGCTGCACTCTTTTGCGGGTGATCAAATAAAACTTCACTGGGGGCAAGTTTGCTTTAGCTTTAAACCTACTTCCACCATGATCCAGCCTTTGACTTGTTTAGCTTGAGGTGGGAGCTTCAGTGCATCAATATGGTATACTCCACCCAGTGGTGCGAACTGTCGCAAATCAACAATATTTTCATCAATTATCTCTTCTTCCTTTTCGTTGGTCTCCTCCTGCAGTGTTGAAACCTGAACTAAATAACAGCCAAACATCATGTGTTACTGCAGGGTCTAAATAAAGTATCAAGCTGTCAAATCAGACATATTCATACATCTCTCTACTTTAATGGCTTTCCACTCTAGTATCTCAGCACCATCTTCTGGTGCTCTGCAAATCTTTAAGGGATCCTTTAGAATGGAGAAAAGCAGAGAGAGGAGAGAGAAAGAATCATGCTAGTCTGAAGTCAGGCAGAAGGCAGGATAATTTGCACCTTACAGACTAACTAAATTGGAAATGCATAAGCTTTTGTAGACTGAAGCTTACTTCATCAGATGCTGAGAAGGGATAGCATCTACCATGCCTTCTGAAAACCGGAGAGAGAATAAAAATCAATAAGAGGTTGTGGGTGAGAGACTTCAGTGTGGGCAACAGACTTTTAAAAAAAAGTTATAAGTACTTTAAGAAAAGTGCTATTAGAAAGTGCAAACACAATGACTGTAAGTAGCTGGATGGCTTCTTGGCCTCAAAACTTCATGTATGATATGCTGTCTATATTATACATGGTAGATAATGTCTTGTAGTGAAGACCACCCATATTTGCTAACACAATATAAATCTGTAGCAATCTTACAAAATAAAATATTAAATATTTAAAAACCAAAACATTTTAACAACCTAACAAGTGGTTCATTAAATAGTATGGTCACTAGCATCAATATTAAATTTATTTCTGTCCTGAGATAGAGTAAATGATTTCCAGTAACAGAAACTCTCCTATTACAATCAGGAGTCTTTTATTTATATAAAAAAAATAACAAATTTAAACTCTTGTATCACTCACAAAAATAAAATTAAAGGTAGAGAGGGTACTGGGCACTTGAAATGCATCTTCACACTAGAAAAACACTATTCAGATATGATTATTCCTTTTCTGGTCTTAGATCTTAGAAAATGGGGAGATAGAGATTTTAGAAGTGGTACAGGGGATAGAATTACCACATTCCACTGACCAGTGCCTAACTCCTTTGAAAATCCCAATGTAAATATTTGGCTGACTGGTCTCTAGAGATGAACCTAGTCATTTGATTGTCAAATCTGTACCCCTCAGAAAGTTTTTTAAAACAGATAGCAGGCTTAATAATACACAACACCTATTCACAATACATTGCTGTCTTGTTTCAGAAGAACGTGCTAGAAGTAAATTAGTGGATATACTGAGCTAGTAGGTTTACTAAGCTAAAAAACATGGCAGTACAAAAAAAGGGACAGATGATTGATATGAGAAAAAGGTTGATGAGCAGTAATGGTTTCTGGAATTATAACCCCCAATTCAGCAAAGTAGTTAAGAATGCACCTTATTTGAACATCTAATTTAAGTAGGGAAACATTCATATGATTAGAGTTATGCAGATGCGTATTTCAGTAACTTACTGGATCTTGGCCTAAAATAAAAGCAAGGCCAGAACCGTGCCTTCCAAAGACAGACACCTAAAATTGTAACCTGAGCAGCCTCAAGAAACAACAAACATCTCAAGAAAGCTCTCTTCCATGCACACGCAATTCTCAGCAATGACATTGTCTCTGAATGTACATTTGGCATTTAGCAAACATTGCTATGCTAACTTTTCTGGTATAATTGAAACAGCAATACCCATACACATGTTGTTGTGTTTATGTCAGGGGCTATGCCATAATATATGCTGAGATGTTTGCCACAAGTAAAATAAGAAGCTTAAAAATGTACATAATTATGCAACATTGCAGATAAGCTCTAACTGAGTACCTTGTGAAACAGTGTTAAAACTTTCGGATTTCTTATCAGGCTCCTCTCCCATCATCTCATTTTCATCAGCATCACTTTTACTGTCTTCTTTGAATGAGATACCACTCTAAAAAAACAAAAGATAATGGTTTTATATTAGAGTGAAAGAGGCAAAATTAAGAATGACATAGCTCTTCCTTGAAAATGAAGGTATCATGGGAAAATTCCTTCTGTGAGACCCACATGTAACTTGTTGTAGGAGTGAGGACGTCATTTGGGGAAGTAGAGAATGAAACTGTAGTGCATTAGTGCTTTGCTGGCTGAAATACTCAGTTTTGATTTATGGTACACATAGGCGACATGTAGCAGGGGCACAGGGGAGCATGTGCCCCACACTGAGACTGGCCGCCACTGCTGGCTACTGCGAGCAGTTGCCGATTGCAACACCACCCCCCTGCCGGGTGGTTGCCAACACTGCCGCCCACAAATTGTGCCCCCCCAGTCTCAGGAGGCACCAGTCATTCATGATGGTACACATTCTCTTAGCATTATAAATTCTTCTTGGCCAGCCTAGATTTTTTTCAAAGTCAAGTAATCAGTTTAACGAGCTGATATATATGTAGAAATCAAAGTATAACTGCATTTCTATAGTCATTCCATCTAAAAATCCCAACACATGTTGCAACCATCGATGAAGTCATCATTGTAGCACCATATGAACTCAAACAATAACTAAATTCTCTCTTCACAAATGAGAAACTAAAGAAATAGCTTGCAAATATGAAAGACTGCAAGGTTTCAGGCCATCCACTCTCAAGTGAACCCAACAGATATTAAAAACAAGGGCCTTAAGAAGACAATGGGAGAAGGTTGCATCTTCAAGGAAGAAAATAATGCCAAGATGCTTTTTGGGTAGCTGCAAGGTGGAAAACATAGGCTAATGAAAGGGATGGAAGGATATTAACTACAGGAAAGTCTCTGGGGCATCACTGGAATTGGCTCAAAAAAGGTTTATAGGTTTGGCCTCTCACTTTCCATCTTGCCATAGCATTAAAGTTTGACTGGGATATTCTTGTTTTTACATCCAGGATTGGAATTTTACAAGGTTCAGGCAATAAAAATGTGTTAAGGTGCTATCACCTTGCAGCTGGGCTTTGACTGACTGTACTGCCACCAGTGCTGGTTGCATGTTGCACATTCTAGATTTTTCCTACCTTTCTTCCAGGTGTATAGTTTTCCTCTTCATTTGCCAGGTCACTTTCTTTTTCACTCTTTTGCTCCCCTTCCTCTTTCTCCTTTTCCTCTTCTGTCACTTCCAAAACCAAATCTGATCTGATTTTTGAGAGTTCCTGCATCAGGTGCAGTGGAAGAATACGACGTAGTGGAGAAACATGATCATAATGAGTGTGCAAGATGCGCACAGCAACATCACTCACTGCCAGGGACTTTGGAAGGTCAAACCCATAGTCAGCTTCACAAAATGTATGATTTTTGAACCTGTAAATAATGGGTTTAAATAAAAAATAATCTCTAGTAAAACCAATACAATAATATTCAAGTACATTTTGTTCAGTTTCATAGCAAACCAGGCAACATTTTCTTTGCATAGTGGAGTCTATGGAGCAAAACTGGAGCATCACCACATGCTCTCACAGCGTGGATGACTGTCACAAGCTTCCCAAGAAAACTATGAGATCTGCTTGCCTTTAAGGATTGTGGCCAGAAATGAAAGAGGACAGATTCAAACAACAATTATCCTGTATAGCTTACTCCTGGGTAAAATAAAGCAATAGACTAGGCAAACATCTACACAGGTTAATGTAGCTGATGCTTGCAATAAACCCCTTTCCACAGCTTCCACATACAAGCTGCAGACACACACAGAGGTAAAGGCAGCCAAACTGGGAGAACCAACAATACCACACATCCAGCAACCTTTGCAGAAATGTGGGGAGCAGACTAGGAGGCATAAAGAGTGAAACGAGTTCTGGGTCAGATAAGGTATTCTGTGAACCCACTTGGGCCTTCTTCCCCCATGCCTGAGACTGTAAAACTACAGGTCCCATGCCCTGCCCATTCTCTTTCCTGAGGAGACAATCTTGCTCATACAAGAATTCATCCGTCCATTTTATAAATGTTATTCACTATACCCTTAAAATCCTCCAATACAGAACTTACACACAATGGAAGGGACACGGAGGTGAGTTTAACCAATTTAAAGTACCTATGGACTATTCGGTGCTACACAGCAAGAATGTAGGTTGTCAGAATCTGGCCATTAGTCTTTATTTGAAATAAGATTAGTTGTCTACTGTACCTTGGATTCTTCTTCAGATTTGCCCAAATACAGAAAGTAACATTTTTATCTTTAATGACCATCGCCATATTTCCACTGTCAGAATCTGCATAAGTGTTAGCCTTCTACAAAAATCAGACAGACTCAATCAGAATATTAATGAAACATAAAGGAAGACAAAATTAAATGGAAGTTATAAAATATCATTTGTTTACCAGGCTTTTTCTAAGAAATATAGCCAATGGACTTTGGGCCACCAAGCCAGTTTCAAAAAGTTATGAAGATTGAACTACTGTATATAATATGCCTGCTATAGAGGTAGCCAGTGTCCCAGCGAAACTATAAATGGAGTGAGCAGCAATAATCTTCACTCTTTTTTTCAGTGAAGAAGCCCAGGAAAGAAATTTAATGAAAAAATAAAAATGAGGAATTTAATTTTTTCCCAACAAACTGATCTATCAGTGAGGTTATAAAAGCTTGTGGGAAATAAAAACAAGGGAAGGATGTCAACAAGTTGCAGGATATTTAATTTTCTGTTTTGCCAACTAAATCATCCAAATTCTTCCAACTATTTTTTTCATAAGTCCGTTTCCTCAACCTCTAATCAGTTTTGTTCTAATATGTCTATGTCTTTCTTGAAGTGCAGTGATTTTTTCAGTGCTGAGTACCACGTAAAAATCACTTCCCTGAATTTACAGGTGACGTTCCTGTTAATGCAACCATGTGAGTACACTAGTGTTTCACATTAAATTGTGGTCTACTATAACCCTAGGGTCCCTTTCTAGAGTACAGCAGCTTAGCCAGTCATCCCCTAATTTGTATTTGTGCATTCGATTGTTCCACCCAACGTTCAGGACTTGTCCTTACTAAATTTAATTTGATTGATTTTAGACCATTTTTTCCAGTTTACCAGGGTCATTCTGAATCCTTGTCCTGTCCTCCAACATGTTTGCAATCGCACTCAACTGCACTAGAAGGAAATTTCTAGTTGCATATTGCACTGTAACATCTGCAAATTTCACCCTCTGTTAATTACTTACATAACTCAAGTGTGATTCTTTCTGTTCCTTTATGAAATGACATCTGAACTAATCTATCATATAAGCAGAGAGAAGTAGTTAGCTGTATTACTCTGAAGTCAGGATGAAGGCAGGACAGAGTTGAATCTTTTATACTAGTTCAGGGATACATAAATTTACTTGGTCAGTCCTATGAAAGGACTTGTAGAGAGCTGAGATACAAAGAGC